ACGGAGCGCTCATGTCTTCAATTATTCAATTCCAAAATAAACGCACATAATGATGACTGAATTTTGCCTTGAGAATTCTTGTATCTCCTATCTTGTTTGACCCTCAAAACCAGGGATCCCCATCAATAGTAAAATTTCTATAATATTACAAGTATTTGACCCTTACATTATTGAAGGTTTAAAATATGCTGATTCAATTTTTCAAATAATATAATATTAATAATCTGTTTTTTTACGAACAATTATATATTTAAAATTTGTTAATATGAAACTGTAAATTTATTACTAAGTGAATAATTCAAATTTCATGAAAGGGGATTTTCGATTACACAAGTAATCGTCAATCTTTCTACCTCAAATTACACGGTTCTACAAAATATGGACTCATTCGTTCTCAAGGATGGAACCAACTTTATCTGATAGATTTTTTCGCGCTGATTCTAAATGCTGTTTTGAAAAATTTTCCTAGCAAGTACAGTTTTTGAGAAAAAAAATGTTAAAGTGTCTAAAAACGGCCAAAACGAACACTGAGAAATTCATTAAAAAATAAGTTCGGACGTAATTTCCGACCCAAAAAAAATCACAATTAAATGAAAATTGGATCTTTTCAATGAATGTGACTTCGTCTTATTTGATTGAATGAAACCCACTAAAAAAAAAATCTAAAAAAGGTGAATTTTCATTTTTTTGGAAAATCAAATTATCGAGAGTTGGCTGTGAGTATCCTCATCCACGCCAATTTCAAATCAATCTACCCACGTGTGTTAACCTCCCCTAGATTTTAATTAGAATATGAAAATCTCGTTTCTTGAAAAGGAATTGTTAATTGCTCTTCATTTTTAAATTAAATCCCACGGAGGTGGAAGAATCGAGACGATTCATTGCCCTCGTGTACGCTGAGCCTAATCTATGGAGAAACGGAATCTCAAGGTACAGCACTGCTAATAAATTAGATTAGCACAGAATTGGTGAGCAGTTGAATCCTCGAAGCTCAGGTATTATCTTATTGAGTGTAATATGAGGGTCAATCTTAGAAAGTCAATCGAATTAATGATATGTCCTGCCCCGACAGGATATTTGACCTTCTGCAGGTTCCTCGAATTGCGAGATCGCCAATGCGAAGAACGACGAATGAATCCCAACGCAGGATTGATCCTTGAGAATGAGCTGATGTTTTTCGTTGAAGATGATGAAACCTGCTCACTCACATCTTCCCTAGCTTCCCCCTCCCCCATCAAGCCCTCCATTAGACCCTTCACCAAGTCCCCTGCTAAGTCCAGAGCCGAGTCCCCCTCCAAATCCTCCAAACCTTGATGAAGTGGTCGTGGTTGAGTCAGAGCAAGACAAAAAAATTTGAGTTCTTGAAATTTTTCTAATTGCTTCGTTTCGAAAAGAAATTATATTTGGAAGTTTTTTTTCATTGTTGAAATCATTTAAACCCAATAAAGAAACAAATCAAGCGTTTTTATGTACATTTCTCTAATTTCTTCAATCACTTTTAATAGAAAAACTACTTCATCAAGGTTTGGAGGACTTGGAGGGGGACTCGGCTCTGGACTCGGCAGGGGACTTGGTGAAGGGTCTGATGGAGGGCTTGATGGGGGAGGGGGAAGCTAGGGAAGATGTGAGTGAGCAGGTTTCATCATCTTCATCGAAAAACATCAACTGATTCTCAAGGATGAATCCTGCGTTGGGATTCATTCGTCGTTCTTCGCGTGGTGATATCGCAATTCGAGGAACCTGCAGAAGGTCAAATATCCTGTCGGGGCAGGACATATCATTAATTCGATTGACTTTCTAAGATTGACTCTCATATTACACTCAACAAGATAATCCCTGAGCTCGGAGGATTCAACTGCTCACCTATTCTGCGCCAATCTAATTTATTAGCAGTGCTGTACCTCGAGATTCCGTTTCTCCATAGATTAGGCTCAGCGTACACGAGGGCAACGAATCATCTCGATTCTTCCACTTCCATGGGATTTAATTAAAAATGCAGGGCAATTAACAATTCCTTTCCAAGAAACGAGATTTTCAAATTATAATTAAAATCTAGGGGAGGTTAACAAACGTGGATAGATTGATTTGAATTTGGCGTGGGTGAGGATACTCACAGCCAACTTCCGATAATTTAATTTTCCAAAAAAATAATGAAAATTCACCTTTTTCAGAATTTTTTTTTGTGGGTTTCATTCAATCAAATAAGACGAAGTCACATTCATTGAAAAGATCCAATTTTCATTTAATTGTGATTTTTTTCTATCTTAAATTACGTCGGGACTCATTTTTTAATGAATTTCTCAGTGTTCGTTTTGGCCGTTTTTAGACACTTTAACATTTTTTTTTCTCAAAAACTGCACCTGCTAGGAAAATTTTTGAAAACAGCATTTAGCATCCTTGAGAACGAATGAGCCCATATTTTGTAGAACCGTGTTATTAATTGATAAAATAGTTGAAAATTTGAATATTTGAATTGATAATACTTAAGTACTCAAACAATTTCAAGAGTGATGTTATCTAATTAAGGGCTATAATATTAATCGTAATAAAATATTACAAATTTGGCTATCCCTGCTCAAAATCATTCGAATTTCAAGGCAACAGATAAACAGGTCGACGTAGTCTACATTGACTTTTCAAAAGCCTTCGATAAATTTAACATCAATGTACTATTAAAACGTCTAATGGATTGTGGGAATGAAGAATCACTTTTACGTTTACTGAGCTCATATCTATCGAATAGGAAAAATTACGTTTGCCACAATGGCTTCGTATCGACTGCCTTTTTTCCAACGTCCGGGGTACTACAAGGCTCAAACTTGGGTCCTTTGCTCTTTCATATTTTCCTCAATCAAGTCACACAATATTTGCATTGTCCACACTTGTTTTATGCGGATGACGCTAAGATATACAAACTAATTGAAAGTCCTGCGGATTGTGCAGCCCTTCAGGCTAATGTTAATAACTTTGCTACCTGGTGTGAGTTGAATGAACTTCCGTTGAATATAAGGAAATGCGAATGCATAAGTTATTTTAGGAATCGTTCACCAGTTATGTTTGAATACACAATCAATGGAGCAGTTCTAGTTAGATCGAACTCATGTGTTGATCTAGGGGTTGCTTTTGATCGTGCTCTAACTTTTCACCCTCATATTGAGGGGGTTGCAACTAGCACTAAACGTGTACTAGGCTTCATAATTAGAATGTGTAGAAATTTCAAAGACAATCGAGTTCTTAGGTTGTTGTACAATAGCCTCGTACGTTCAAAACTAGACTATGGTAGCATCCTGTGGTCTCCTCAATACGACAAATACATCCAACATTTAGAATCAATCCAAAAGCGGTTCTTAAAATTCCTGTGCTGGAGGGAGGATGGCATCTATCCAGAACGGGGTTCGAATTATCGTTTACTTTCTAAACGATTTAATTTTTTGACACTTCAGCAACTAAGAGCCAAAACGGCGATCGTCTTTATAGTAAAGGTCCTCAGAGGCATTGTGGACAGTGCCGAGATGTTATCTCAGTTGAGCATCCAGTTCTCTCAATCGGAAACCCGCTCTGCATCATGCATTTACCTTCCGAAAGTGAAAAACAATCTGACTTTCTCATCTCCAATTCGCCAGGCTAGTTCTCCGGTTAATTTAATGTTCAGCCGTTATCGTGACATGGATATCTTCAATGATACTATTGATTCGTTGATAAAAAAAGCCTATGATGTATGACACTGTTATTGTACATTACTGAACTTCTTACTTGTATATAATCTAGATGTAATTTCTTTTCTCGCTTCATGCGCCATATTGAACTGCTGTTTAATTTCTTGTCTTAATGTAAAATTCACCACGTATTTCTACAGATCTTTGGATAAACTCCTAATTATGTTTATTCACATACCACTCAAGTCATGTAATTGGCCTTGGCTGTTTGACTTTTATACCAATAAATAAATAAATAAAAGTCTAAATGTTCGTGAGGATTGCTTGACCCTCAAAACCATTTGATCCCCTAAATCTAGACATTCTTAAGGACCATTTGACCCTCAAACCATTGACATACCATCTCTGAACGTTCTCAAGGGTTGCTTAACCCGTCAAGCTACTTGACCCTCAACTAAACACAAAAAAAATTCTCTGAATTTTGCTAAATAGTCATGATTTTCTGGTCTTTCAAAGTATTTCTTAAAAGCTCAACTCAAAAGCCCAAAAAACAATTTAAGGCCCGGGTGTACTATCTTTCGAACGTTACCTGGATTTTTTTTTATCTTTCGTAATCCAAAATTGTCAATTGAGTGGTACATCATATAGAAATTCCCAAAAATTATGATAGAATGATACAAAAAAAAAAAAGAAAAGATTCTAAACTTTTTCAAAGAGCGTTTTTAATTGGGATTCGGAATGAGTTGAAAAAAGTGGAAATTACAAATATCTGATTCGCTGTGGCAAATTATCTATTACCTGTCTTTTTCCATGGTGGATAACAAAATACTTACTCGTCATGAGAAGTGACAGCTAGGTATCTCAATTTTCAAAACAGTGGTATGTAGTCATCGGCCATTTTTATGTGATAAAAGTCTGATTAAAAAATTCTCCAAAATATTACAACTTTTTTCAAAGAGCCTTTTCCGTAATAAATGTCTCTGTGCAGTGTGGGAAAAGATTTACGAAATCAGTCTTCCTCCTGGATGATATTGGGTGACAGGCCGCCGTTTGTCACCGTAAATCAGATACATTTTACAATTTCTTGTTATTCAACTTATTCTGAATATAAATTAAAAATGCTCTTTGAAAAAATTAAAAATTTGTTCTATTTTTTTTTATTATTCATTCATAAATTTTGCAAAACTTCTGCATGATGCAGGACTTAATTGACAATTTCAGATGACGAAAGATGAACAAAAACATTGAGATAACGTTCGAAAGATAGTACACCCGGGCCTTAATCTTTCTTCTTCTTTCCTCTGGAAAATGATGAATAAAAACTAATGGAGTAATGATACTTACTTGACACTCTCGACTGCAGTACCACTGGTTTCCACAGCCAGCACACACAAACTGTGCAGCACGTTCTTGGCACCCTTGACACCTTGGTGGTGTATCCCTGTCTTCTCGATTCTCCCTGGACGAGGTTCGTCTCGAGTCTCTCTCTTCTATTAACGAGTTATCCTCTTCCACATCCTCCTGAGGAAAATAAAAATTAATAAAGTTATTAATAAAATCAAATAAATGAGGGTTTTAAAAATTAATTAAACATCAGCATAAATTGAATTTGGAAGTTTAAAATCGGAAATAAATTTCAAACCAATGTTAGTATGAATAAAAACATTCTGGTTGAGTTTATGGTCAATCGGCAGTCAAGTATTATTGATAATAATTAATACAGAAGTGCAAGAATAAAACAGTCTTATGAGAAAATGAACTTTTCGAAATCAGGAAGATGATTAAAATGTAAAAAACAATCTCGAAAAATCGGAAGAAATAAATGAAAATTCTATGCCCAAATTTTGAATTTATTTGTTTGAATTTATGTGTTTACACTCAACGACTCAACTGAAGTTTATTTATACTACTTTAATTATGGTGGAATTATCTCTTACCACATGAATAACATTGTTAGAATGAGAAGATTGGATTGGAGTGTTTCCAACCGGAGTTATTGTGATTTCTCTTCTAGCCTGAAACAAAACGAAAAACAAAAATTAAAAATAAATTCATTTGATTTTTCTCGGTTTTTTCAAATTGTTGTCCAATAGATTCAACAATGAAAAATAACGAATTTATAAAAACTGAATGAATCAATTCTGTTTGATGATCAGTTTTTGGAAGATATTTGCGAAATAAAATAAAATAGAATACCAAGTTCAAACGTTTTAAATTTAAAGATCATTTGATTCTCAACTAAAAACAAAAAGAGTCTGTGAATTTTGCTAAGTAATCATTATATCTAGTCTTTCACATTCTTTCTTACAAACTCAACTCAAAAGCCCTAAAAAATAACAATTAAAAATTTTCTTCTAAATCTTTTCTTCATTCTATATCTGTGAAATAAAATAAGTTGGAAAATTTATATTTCATTAAAACGCAATGAAGAATAAATTAATGAAAAAAAAAACAAAATATATGGATAATAACGAATAACAAAAGAGGCCTCTATTAAAAAATTGGTGTCACCTTTTTTGTGAGCAATCTATTTTCTCAGGGATAACCTTAAGCCTAGGAACAAGGATAATCTTTGCTTAAGATCCTAGATTATACAAATCTTTGTTTTATATTCCTTTTTAAAAAGATATTTTCTGCATATATTTTTTTTATACATATCTATACTTTACTGTTATTATATATAATATGTATAATATACAATATATAATAGAGTACTATATGCATTATAAAATAGTATAGTATAGAATGTAATATAATATAATATAATATAGTATTATCGTAATATCTTTAATGTATGCTATTATCATCATCATTTATAAAAAATCTAATAACACAGTCCGCTGAATAGATTGGCTTAAAAAAACGTTACACTGGATTTTTTACTAAAGAATATAGAAATAGAAAATCGAAAAAATATCTTCTTTTAAAGAAATAAAAAACATTTGTATAATCCAGGATCATCAGCAAAGATTAACTGAAGGATTCCGTTCTGGATACTTTATGGAACAATTTAACTATCTCGTGACATGAAGCAATCATTTAGTGTGAAATAATACAATTCTAGCTGTAAAAAGTCATGATAGAAACGTGACATTAAATCATATGTTCCTCTGATTGTTTATTGTTACTTTAATTATTTTCAAAAATAAATGAAAGGATAAAAAATACAATGAACCACTGGCTTAAGTATGCACGCGTTCCTTTTCTACTAATCAAAAAAATAAATAACAATTCACCTTAGAAGAACTGAGGAGATCGCTGATGGACACCCCACTGTTGCCCTGGAACCCCTGAACCATCTGAGCAACCTGTACCTGTCCCCTCTCCCTCTCAGGGGCAGTCAGCAGTTTCGCCAGAGTCGGTGAGAATGTAGTGGGCCTGGGGCTGTGACTCTTCGTCAAAATCCCATGCAGCAAACTACCACTCTGTCCCCCAGTTGTCCCAGTCACCGGTCCCGAGGCCACAGGATGCAGTGTAACATCCGGATAATTTTGTGGATTTTTAACACTCGTTCCACTCGACTCTGACTGTTGTCTCGCAAATTTGGCAAATTGAAGGTGAATATCTTTGTAATTAACATCAGGATTTGATCCAGACTTGCACGAGTCTGTGCTGGAGGGTCTGGAGTCGTGAATAGTCTCGACAAAGCCACCACCAGCAGCAAGTCCAATGTTCACGGAATTTCTCATTCTTCTGCCCCTTCTGGGAACAGTCTCAGGATGTCGAAGTCTGTGCTCAGCTATTACTGATCGTACATCGAGGAGAGGGCCCTGTCTACCCTCGCCAATCTGTCTGGCGTCCAGCTGAACGTCCAGAATTCTCTTCTGGTGCTTCTGATCCTGGGGAGGTCTTGCTGACACTTGGGAAACAGTCAGCTGACGATTTTGGGACTTTGGGGGAATTATCTGGCGCTCTGGGGACTTTTTCACTGGGGGTGGGGGCTCCTCGGGAGGAGGGGAGTCCTTCGGGGCCTCGGTGGGGGCGGGGGGCTCCTGGGGAGGGGCCGGGGGCTCCCAGTCTGGCGCCAGGGAGAGAGACGCTGGGGGAATGCTCTCTGCTATTTGGCCGTTTGTGTTCCCCAGGAAGCCCATCACTTGACGCTTTCGCTCTACTCGCAGGTAGGCTTCTTCCTTCAATTTCCTCATGGAGAGAATCTCGTTCCACTCCATCTCCTTTGCACGGGCCAACTCGTCCAGGGCCTGGAGAACCAGAGGAGGATAGAGATTTTTTAGTTTTAGGATTTTAGTTTTAGGTGATTAGGGGAGGTTTTCGGATTTCGATAGCTTCGGAACAATTGGAGGTAGAGAATAACTGTTTGAGTGAAAAATACTCGATTTTTTGTGATGTACATTTTGTCGGTTGCACATTTTTTTCTATCTACAATAGCTCCTCCGAGAAACTCAAATGAAGTTGATGTGAAAATTGGAAATTCAACGTGAAAAATCAACTTCACAATTGAACGATCGACGCAAAAATGTGTAATTTTCAATAAAACAGTTAGAAATAGAAGAAAACTTTGTGGATAAAAAAAAGTTTGTCTTTTTGTCCTAAACATTTTGCCTCTAGAGAATTTTGCTTTAACTCTGAAGGTTCTGCCAACAAATTCAAACGAAGTTGATGGAAACAAAATATTAATCGAGTAGCAAAACTAGAAAACGCAAATTCCCGATCAGTTTTTGCAAAATATCTCGAAACTTAGAAGAGATACAAGAATTTTCATGAGAACCTTTTTTGTAGCCCTTGAAATTCCCCACAAATAAGCTTTAGTCGAAAATTCTCCTATCACCCCTAGATTCCGAGATATCCCCAAAAATCCAGATCACCTCCACAATTCAATTGCTCTCGATTTTCCCAGTAATTGCCTTCGGTATTACAAAACAATTGACAAAATTCATCATCAATGGGTTAATGAAAACATAATTAATTACCTGAACCTCAGCACGAAGTTCATCAGCCCTGGTGGCCAGTTCCTCAGCGCTGATTCTGTCGCAGCCAACCAAAGAGTCGATAAATCTCTCTCGTTGCTCGAAACATATTCTCTTGGGATTAAAATTGGAGAATGGATCCTCGGTTGATTTTCTCTTGCGCTCTTTACTCCTCGTCTTCTTTCTGGTGTCTGTGGTCTCATCGTCCGATTGATTCTCCTTCTTCACTACTGTAGGGGTGGCTGTCTCCTCTGGTAAAGCAGCACCATTCTGTCGATTCTGGGGCACCTTTGGAGACCTTCTGGACTCATCCTCTCGTTTTTCAGGCTTACCACTCGATGGACTCGATGTTGCACAGTCCATGGCGTGCATTTTATTTAAACTGTAATTTTTAAAAATTATTTTAGCTTTTAAGTCGGGGAAATTGGAGATAATGTGCAGATTGAATTTTTTTTTTTAATTTTGAGGTATTAAGGCTTAAGTGGATTATCTTTCGAACGTAATCTTGATTGTTTTTTTTATTTTGATAATCTGAAATGATCTCCAATTGCTACTCAGTTTTACATAGCCCTGGAGTCTCCAAAAATTATGATTGTACATTTAAAAAAACGTTGAAAAAAAGCTGAACATTTTCAAAGAGCTTTTTTAAATAATATTGGCAAATAAAGCCAATAGGGAGGAAATTACAAATAAATAATTTGATGTATCTAATGGCTGCTAGGTCGTCATTTGTCACAGTAGTCAATGGCTGTCAGATCGTTAGTTACCATGATAAATTATCCATTCACTATTTCCTCTCTATCGGATTTATTTCTTAATCTTTATTAAAAACGCTCTTCGAAAATGTTCATTTTTTTCTACTTTTTTTGATTGTACAATCATAATTTTTAGGGACTCCTGCGTGATGTAAAATCCAATGGAAATTGTGATATAGTTTTGCATTATGAAGATGGAAAACAATCGAGATAACGTTCGAGAGATAATTCAACCGGGCCTTAAATTCGAAACTATCTCGGGATATCCCTTAGGGGTATCTCCTAGGTAGTATTCGTTCTACTCTCGCAGCCTGCACTTTAATCTCCTGTTTTATCGTTCATTAATGCCTTTTTCTTGCTCTTATTGACAGTCCGCCTCCTGCCCTTTTCAGCTTTGCTTTTACGTTAAATAGTGTAACACCTACAGCGTGGGTGTTTATTATTTAAATCTCTGTTTATATTGCCTCTATTATTTTTGCTGCATGACTTGTGTTATGATGTATTTTGTACAATATAATGTACAGTAATAAAATTCTCAATCAATCAATCAATCAAGCAATCGGTAATTGGTGTTGTTTGAGGGTTTTTTGACTCACGACTCCCAACGTCTTTAAGGGTCGTTTGACGTATGTTGACTTCTAATTGGTGTTTAGGTGAGGGTGGAATCGTTGTAAGGGTCAAATGACCCTTAACGACGTTTGAAGTTGGGGGTCAAATTGTCTCAAAAGGCAAACGACCCTTGAAGACGCGTCGGGTTGAAGGTCAAATTGTGTTGAGGGGCTTACCCGAGTGGAAATTCTGTTCAGGTCCTTTAATTCTCTTTGACCCGTGAAGGTTAATTTAACCCTCAAGAAGAACTGTTTGTCTTATTTGTTGAACGACCTTCAAGGACGTTGGAATTAAGGGTCAAATGGTTTTGAAGGTCAATTTGACCCTTATGTGTAAAGAAAACAAAAAATATCTTATCGTTCTCACTCGCCACCTCCCTTTAATCGGCAATTATCTCGTGAACGAGTATTTCTCGCAGAAAATCACCAAAAATATTTTTTGTAGGAAATTTCCTCCTCTCCAAAAAGCTCTGAACCCACTTCCCTCTGAACCCCCTCAATCCGATGATAAATGCAAAGTAATAAAAACCAAAATTCTCCAATGGTTTGAACCAAAAAAATTAATCCTCTCTCAATCCCTTCCTCTCGCTCACTCCCTCAACACTCACCACCAATCCACAAACAAAAATCAACCTCAATTCCCTCAATTCTCCCAATCCCGCATAAAGAAGAAAAAAAAGAGGAAAATACACATGAGATAAAGATGGAGAATGTTAGCAACCAGCGCCAACTAGAGTTCGTTGCACCCCGGCGACGTTAGCAAGTTTTGGTGTCATCGTATTTTCCTCTCGTACTCCTCAAACAACTCTTCAATCTCCAGATCCCATTGTCCTCCACTCACTTTACCATTTTTTTTCATTTTTATCACAATAATTGAAGGTCAGTTACAGCCGAAAGGAAAGGGGGATGATAATGTCCAGGTGATGATGATGATTTACTCCCTCTCTTGTTCCTCCGCGGAAAAGTGAAAGGGAATTTTGTCGACGATAAGGGACACCACCGGTTACGTACTGGCCGCTGTACTAGTCTAATCGTGACTAGTAGCGTCATCAAGACGCCTTAGGTATTGCCCTGATGAACACTAGTGGGGGACGTGTACACGGTTTGTTAGAGAGGTCAAAGACGAAGGCGAACTGGCGAGAGTGACTTTCGATTTAGAATTAAGGTGAATTGTTGGTATAGGTCGAGATGAAAAAAAATTTTTTTTTCATAGTTTACTATCAGTTTAGTTGAAGGACGCTTGGAGGGGATTAGTTTATCGAGGAATGGGGAGGGATGAGAGATGTGGAGGTGAGGGGATTTTCCGGAGGTGTTTGAGGGAAATTATCTCGGGGATGATGAAGTGGAGGAGGAAATTTTGTAGAATGTTTTTTGCCGGGAATTTAATCATCTGTAAAAATGGTATTGTGACATTTTTTGGTAGAACTAGTGGTTTTTGATATAATTGAATAATTAGTAGGAAAAAGGTGGGCGAGTGGGTTTTTTTAGAAGTTTATTTTGCAGTTGGAGTTTGAGAGGAAGTATCTCGGGGATGATGAAGTGGGGGAGGAAATTTTGTAGAATTTTTTTTGAGGGGAATTTATCATCTGTAAAAATGGTATTGTGACATTTTTTGCTGGAACTAATGGTTTTTGAGATAATTGAATAATTAGCAGGAAAAAGATGAGGGAGTAGAATTTTTTAGAAGTTTACTTTACAGTTGAAGTTTAACTGCAATTATCTCAGTAATGAGTAGGTGTAGGAGGAAATTTCATAAAACGTTTTTTCGAGGAAATTGAATTCTCCACAAAAAAAATTTTTGGGTCGAACCAAAGGTTTCCAAGATAATTGGCTAACTAACATAAAGAAATTTCGAAATTTCATAGGACATTTTTTGTAGGATAGGGGAGAGTGGGACAAAAGAAACATAAGGCAAAATAAAATAGTCGAAAAATGACTGTTTGACGCAATTCAAGCAAAAAAAAATTGTTTTGTTTTTTTGCTTTTTTTTCATCAACTTTTTTAATTATTGGGAGTACTGACGGAAATAATAATTTTTTATTTGTCTTATAATTCAATTAATTAGATTAATTGCTTTGCTTTTTTCATTCTATTTGAAATTCAGCATCAATTTTCCTTTTCCCCCTCTGGGTCTCCCCTGGGCTTTCCTCTGGACTTTGGACTTTGCTGTTTCATTTTGCTTTCAATTAATCCATTGAGAAAATTTTCTCCCGTCAGAACTTCTCAATAATTTTCCATTCTACTGAATGTAAAATTATTATTCTCACTAGTACTCTCAAGAATAAATAAAAGTTAGTATACAAAAGTTGGTAAAAATAAATATTAAAAAAAAAATTTCTTTCGCTTGAATTGCGTCAGTCATTTTTCGACTGTTCCAGTTTGCCCCACTCTCCCCTATTTAATTCTCTACAAAAAAGCGTTTATAACATTTTTGGATAGTACCAAAGGTTTTCAAGTAACTAAATAATTACCCCGGAAAAAAGATGAATGAATTCATAAAAAAAAACAAATCTGAAGTTCAAGTGTGATTGCAACTATCTCAGCAATGCTGGTCTAAACGGAAATTCCATAAGACATTTTCTGCCGGAAATTCAATTCTCCACCAAAAATATTTCATCACATTTTCTCATATTCATTCATAAACAAATCTTAATCCTGCAGTTGTCCTCGAGAGGCGCTTCATCCCCTAGAATCATTTGATCCGGAAATATTGCTGATTGTAAAGCTCCATCCGCCTCCCCTCCACTATTTTTCATATCATTCATTGATTTATAAATAAATTTTGATCGTGTGGCTGTCCTCGGGGGGGGGGGGCGTTTCACCCCCGTATAAATAAAAATCGCCCCCTAGAACTCACCGGGATGCTGGTTTGAGCCCAAGAGCAAGCAGTACATCAATGCCCGCCATTTTCTGCTGTTCACTGGAAAATTTCTGCTGACAGATTGCCCCATCGTCATCCCCAAATTTCCTGTAGTATCTTATTCCCTCGTTAACATCGTGAATTCCCTCATCCCCATATTTTCCCTCCTTTCCGTATTTTCCATGTGTGACCTTGAGAATTGACCTTTTGGCGTCCTCAACGAGCATCTTCGTCACCGGTTGTACATTAACAGGCACCCCAATTGTTGGCACAGCACCTCTGCGCAGCCTACTGCGCACCGGAAGTCCAAGAACAAGATGCTCCATGTCTTTCTCATACGAATCATTCGTAAAATGTAAAGAGCATATACGCGCTGTCTGTATGTTAAATGGTACATCGCCATTAGACAGGGGTGGACGTCCGCAGGCGCGTACCCATCTAGCACGTACTTCCGGTATCTGGGGGAATCGATGGTAACGGATACGACGGCCACGAGTACGTCGGTGACTATTTCTACATGTTGCTACTGCACATTGAGGCATTTTTTTCGCTCTTCAACACTCAACAAAAATTATCTCGAAAAAGATGAGGTCGAGATGATTATCTCAGGACAAAATATCTGGAGAAAATTGTCAATTTTTGTTGAAAATATATCTTGATGATTATTTCGAAATTTATCTCGTTTTATTTTTTGTTATCTAGATCCTCCAGCCATGGGGATAGATGAGATTGTCTATGGTAAGAATTATTATGCCGAAAAAAAACAAAACTTCCTTGGAAATGATTATCTGGCAGATTAGTGATTATCTCAAAAAAGATATTTTGAAGGAAATTATCTCGTCATCTCCTCAGTTATCTCGATCCTCCAGCAACGAAATTGGATGAGAATTTCTCGCAATGATATCACCCCAATTTTATTATCAAAAAATTTCCAAATGTTCAAGATATCAGTTATCTGAAAAATATCTGGAGTAAAATTCTGTAATTTTTTTTCTCCAAAAAAATTATCTCGAGAAAAATTCTTGATGGATTATCTCCTTAACCACTCAGTTATCTCGATCCTCCAGCGTGAAATTATCATCACGATTCCTTGAAATGCTCTTCCAGCCTCGAATACATGTTCGTTTATTCTCAATGCAATGTTTTTTCCTCAATAATTCTTGACGATACCTCAACCCTCCCACCGATCTATTTATCCCGAAAAGTATTCAAGATTATCTCTGGCTCGTCACAATGTTTGAACTTGAATATCTCCGAAGATAATGGAGATAAGGTACCATTTTGGTGCGAGTGCTCTGGATAAAACCACGAGTTCAATGATCCACCGAAATGTTCTCCACTCGTTTCACCAATTCCCGGACTTTAGTCACCCCCTGACTGCTCCTGGAGATGATTTTGCACTAGGTTAGGAACTGTTGTTTACACTCGGTTAACACGAAATTATCGCTCACGTGACGTCACACTTTCACTTGTAGAAAAACTACCCCTGATTTTTTCAAATGCTTTGCACAACTCCACTGCACTTTATGAATCACTTTGGCACTTTTTAATCGTTCACTGGGGTCACAAGGGCCGCGGGGCATAGCCTGCGATACAACTTTAACAACTGGAATAACGAATTTTTTTTTTTTTGAAAGAAGAGTCTCGCAGCTGCGTGCTCGCCTCGTGTCTGAGGAAGCGAGCCACCGTGAACCGGTGAACCAATGATGTTGGGGACTCTGTGTGGCGGCACCGCGACCAGGGGCGCTCAGGGGTTATGCTGGGGAGGGGAGAATCAAGGGGGGGGGGGAGAGGAGGAGAGGCGGATGGATTTTTTTTGTTGTTTAATTTAGAATGTTTCATTGAGGAAATCAGCATTTTCGGGAGTTACGGCGATTGAAAATTGTGAGTGACGGGGATGTGTGTGTGATGATTTGTGATGATGATTAGGATTTTTTAGGAATTCATTGAGATGTAGAGAGGGGAAAACTGAAGATGAGGTTTATTCGAGGAAAAATTGATTTTGGGGTTGACGTTTGATTGGAAATATCTCGATGATGAGTTGGCTTGAGAGGATTTTTCGCAGAACGTTTTTTGGCGGAAATTTAATTCTCTACAAAAAAGGTTTTGTGACATTTTTGGGCCGAGTCTGTGATTTTCGAGATAATTGGAGAATTATTGGTGAAGAAAAAGAATGAATGAATTTGAGATCGTCGAAAGACGATTTTGCGGTTGTCTAGGAGGGAATTTCGTTGGATGTTTTTTGTTGAAAATTCAAGTCTCTACATAAAGTATTTAATAGCGTTTTTGGACAGAACTAACGGCTCCTGAGATAGCTGGGTAATCACAAAAGAAAAGATGAATGCATTTATTATCGTGGAAAACCGATTTTGCAGGAAAAGTTTGATTGAAATTATCTCGGTACCGAGATGGTTGAAGAGGAAAATTAATAAAATATTTTTTTCAGAAAATTTAATCCTCCACAAAAAACATTCAAGACATTTCTCCCTGAACCACTCCTTACCCGTTAAAATCCCCAATCATGAAAACCGTTTCCTTCAACTTCTCCCAAAATCAAAAATTGCCAAAACTCCATAACAAAAATCCCCCCAAAAATTAAAAAACTTCCTTCAAATTCATTTCACCAATTCAATCATCTCCGACAATTGAACCCAACCTCCAGTGAATCAATTCCATTGATTCATCCCGGTAAAAAAAAATTAGAAAAAAGTGAAATTAAATTAAAAGTTGCATTTCTCTTATTTCCCTTTTGTTGTCTTCAGCTTTTTCTTCTCTCGGTTTTTCGCGTCAGAAATATAAGTGAAGTTAAGGGCAACCACCCCCAGTTGGTCTCACTACATGGTACTTCACGTGGGTATGAAAGTGAGAGCGAGAAGCAACAAAAAGGGAGGGACGTGGTCCCTTCATCCTTGAGGTGGGGCTTTCGCTCGTCAGAGAGAGAGAGAGAGAGAGAGAGAGAGAGAGAGAGAGAGAGAGAGAGATGGGGCAAACCCCACTGCGTTTCTCGTAGGATCAATACCCGACCGAACCCCAAGTTCCACCCCTGCCACCATCCAATATCCCCTTCGCCCTTCACCCTCCCCCCTTTTTCATGGTGAATGCAGCCTGGAGAACCCAGAGGCTCCGAAACTTCGAGCACCAAGTGTTGAACTTGGAGAGAATTTTTCCGGTTAAATTTTTTTTCGAAGACGGGCCATTGGGAAAGGGCAATTAAGGGCATTTTTTGAGTTTTTGAAATCGCAAAAATGAAAATAGTGGAGCATTTTTTATTTGGAATGCGATGCAGCTTCGAAATGAGGGTCATGAGGGTCAGATTAAGGGTCACAAGGGTCCAAATAACAGTCGTAAGAGGCAGATTAAGAATCGCAAGGGTCAGATTAAGGGTCACGAGGGTCTAAATAAGAGTTACAAGAGGCAGATTAAGGGTCACAAGGGTCCAAATAAGAGTCGCAAGAGGCAGATTAAGGATCGCAAGGGTCAGATTAAGGGTCACAAGGGGCTAAATAAGAATCTCAATATCGTTCTATATTGTAAAAATTCAAATCGGCTTTTGATGATGAAAATTTGGTAATGAGATGGTTTAAAAGGAAGTTGCAAAGGACATTTTATGTAGGAAATTTAATGCTTTACAAAAAAGATTTTATGACATTTTTGGGTAGAACAATTGCAATCTCTCCCCTCGGCCCTTCGATAAAATGTTAATAGATAAATTTTCTGTACACATACTTGAATGAATTTGAAACATCACATTTGAAAAAACCATCAGAAAGCTCACTTTCAGAGAAATTCATGAAAAATTCAAAATTTTCAACAATCATCATAAAAATCAAATCAACCAATATACCTATCGTAATCATCTTTCAACTTCGACTTAATGGCATTGAAACAAACATTTTAAGCTATGATTGAATTTATTTGAAGCATGATATTCAAAGATATCCCCGGAATTCTGATTTTCAAAAAATACAAAATTTTTGAAAATTCTCGAATAAATCAAAATAACGATTATTGCTAGCGCCTTCATCTTCGAACTCAGTCAAAGGGACATCTAAACAAATTTTGTAAGCCACAAAATTTCAATCAATCCAGAACATTTTTTTTGGTTATCGTGGGACAACCGATTTTCGAAACAATTCAAAAATTTAAAAAACTAATAGATGAATTAAATTTTAGTTAATGGCGATCGATGGGGCTCAACAATACCTACATTTGAAAAAAAAAGACTCAATTCTATCCATTCATGAGTGAACAATTGAAGAAAAACTACCATTTTCGGACTTTTTGGATCATAATGGGTCGATATAACACAGAAAATCCAAAATTTCAATTTGAAAAATTAAGAAAACTAATCGATGAATTAAATTTCAATTAATGGCGATCGATAGGGCTCAACAATACTTACATTTGAAAAAAAAAAGACTCAATTCCATCCACTCATGAGTGAACAATTGAAGAAAAACTTTACCAGTTTCGGACTTTTTGGATCATAATGGGTCGACATACCACAAAAAATCCAAAACTTCAATTTGAACGATTACAATACTTCCATTCGGAAGCAAAAAGTATTTCACTGGATAAAAAATAGCCGAAGTACTTGGATATCCTTAATGCACTGAGAAAAAACAATATTTTTCCTAAATTTCTTATTTTCTACAGGGAAGAAATTCAATTCAGTAGCGAAGTGGTAAAACGGTTTAAGTCGACTTATCTCTTAGTTGAGCTTTTGGAAAATAACTCCGAATCTAAAGGAGATAATGAAATTTTCGTAATAACCTTTTTTCTAGAGCAAATTGAGTGCTACAAGAAAAGTCTGGACAAAAATTTAGCCATCTCCCTTAGATTCCGAGATATTCACTAAAAACTGGCCAATTGTCAAAATCGACTTAAACTGCTGTACCACTTCGCTACTGAATTAATTTTTCAATGTTTATAATTATTGAGGGAGTTCACTCAAGATTATAACTAACATGACCATCCTCTACAGCAATTTAATTACCAAAAATTGAAATCCAATGAGAATACCCAGTGACTGCCTCGACCGGAGAAATACGGTCTTAAAAACATAAATCCCCCTCTCAAGTAAATGAATATTTCGCAAAAATAATTTATTTCTCAGCATGCCTCCCCGTGAAGAAAACTTCTCCCCTAATTTTCTCTCACTATTTCCACCACAGATATTTCATTTCATTCGAAATATTTCTGGCAGCCAGCAGTCGCCAAAAGTCTTGAAATAATCGGTTGAGCGAGAATTTGCGGGTTTCCAGGTACCAAAACTCGACCTTTTCAGGAGGAACCGAGGGGTTCGCCAGGTTTCGGACTCAAAAGGAGACCGATTGAGGAATAAAAAAAAAACCACCGGAGAGCCGTGAGTGCAAGAGAGAGATCGTTAAACTGGGACCAAGACATCTGGCGTCAGGACAAAGGGAAGTTGGAGGCCAGAAACCCGAGAGAGGTCCATTTTGGATGAGACTGAGACAGAGCGACAGGGAGAGAGAGAGAGAGAGAGAGAGA